AACCTGTTTACAATGTTATAAGAGCCTGTTTGAAGAAATAAAATGTGAAAGAACCTGTTAGACATTCAACCATCTTTCTCTTAGCAAATTTGAACCATTCATTTTAATTTATCCAAAATCTAATTATACCTTTAACAAATCTGAACCACTCATTTTAAGATATCTATGCATTACCACACCCAATCCATCCTTCATCTTCTTCCTTTAGTCCCCCATGAATTTTGTTGTTTGTTACTTTTAAAAAACAAAAAATGTTTTTTCAATTAAATTTTTACTAATTTCACAAAACCATCACCACTATTCTCACCTTTACTGTCACACTACCATCACTATAGCCACTACCATCATCACTGCCGCCATCACCCCACCACTATGTAACAATTTCTACTTTCACCTTCGTTCCATCACCACCACCACCAAATATAAAAAAATATATTTTGAATTTTTTTTATAAAAAATATTTTTCATTAAAAAATATTTTCTATCTAAATAAATGAAGCATAACATTGGAAAACAAGCTGATTTCAGTTAAATCTGTTTATAACTAAGAAAAATTCTTTTAATTAAAAAAAATTATTTAATAAGACTTTGTATCCCCTTTTTGTTTTTCTAGCAAATAAATCTTTGTACCCATCATTTCTAACCAATCACGACTCATGCTTGTTTTGATTCTCTACAATTTTCTTATTTTCAAATACATTCATATATATATATATATATATATATGTTGAATAAATTGTGTGATAACATAAAACAAATAGATTCATACTCGTTAATTGAAATTTCAGAACAAGCAAACCATTCTGAAAATTACAATACATAACAAAATAAAATAACATAAAAAAGCAAACCAAAACCTACACTAAACAGTGTCCTTAATTTTTTTAAATAAATTAAAAAAATTCTAGATATGCATGAAATTTGACAAGAATAATGTGACAATATTAATTAATGTGTATTTGATTTTATTGTTAAGCCAAATAAAATAAAAATAAAATCAAATAAGATTGAATGTATATTTAACTTTGGTTGTGAATCTTAAAAAAAAAAAAAAAAGATTGTGAACCTTAAAAAAAAAAACAAAAGAAAAAAGATTGAATGTATATTTAGCTTTGGTTGTGAATCTTAAAAAAATAAAAAAATAAATAAAAAAATAAGTTCTTAACATTAAATATATTGAATGTATATTTAGCTTTGGTTGTGGATCGAAAAAAAAAAAAAAATTGGTTGTGAACTTGAAAAAATAAATAAATAAAAAAAAGAAAAAAGGTTGAATGTATATTTAGTTTTGGTTGTGAATCTTACAAAAAAAAAAAAAATAGGGAAATTAGTGGGTACCCATCCCCAATCCATCTCCTGTAGATATTTAAAGAATATCATTTACCCTACCCAATGGATAAGAAAAAGAGGAGAAAACCATGTATTTGGGTTAGGTCTCCATGAATACCCACAGGGTAGGTTATCTATTGCCATCCCTATCTTAAAGGCTCCAATATCTGAAAATCGCATCTTGCCTATGGCCAATTAGAAAATTTTCAAAAAAAAATCTTCTCAAGTATCTCAATTGTTTAAACACTTGGCACTTCTCATTTGAATGTTATAGCCTGAGTCCTTGAATGAGTTGGCAAAGCAAGTGTCGTAGCATGGACAACCCTTTGTAAGCTTCACTAGTGTTCTCCACTTTCTTTGGCGATCCATGATGTGCAGAATGATTATTTGAAACTATAAAAATAAAAAAAAAGTATAAAATGAATGATAAATGAAGGAAGATATTATTTGAGATGGAATTTATCTCGAACATGTGAATGAGATTACTTCACATATTCAATTGGATTCATAATTATGTGATTTTCATTCTTTCTCTAGATTCCGGCCATCCACATATTGCTTAAGGTTGAAAGGTCGATGAGTGGGATAAGGTTGCCCCATTGTCTACCCCTTCACTGTTGGGCCTAATAATAATTTTTTTTTTTTTTAAAAAAAAAAAGGGGAATGTCAACACAAGTGTGAGCCTAAAATCTTGTGGTGTGATAATTTCAAAATCTACAATTTTTCTTTTTGTCTTGTGCATAGATTTATATTATTTCACTATTTTTGCTTTAATAATCTAAACCCTCTTCTTAAAACTAAACGTGTTATTAGTTTTATTTACGACTTATCCAACTAATTCTTAATGAATGTAAGAATCAGAAACTTCTGCAGAAATAAAGTGTGCATATTTAGAAGCTCCCAAATGAACCTCATCTGCCTCCTAGGTAAGATTCCATTAGAGCCCTTGCACTTGTTAACCTAAAAAGTATGTTTTATTTTATTTTATTTTTACCAAACTAAATAAAGAGTAAGGGAAAAATTGACACAATAGAGTATAGAATAATAAGGCACAGTCCGTCTTTTGTTTTGTATGTTCGTCTTTTGTTTTGTACAGTTCTGCAGGAGCCTGGGACTTACCCCTTATATTCTTGTAATTTTTCTGTTTTAATTTATGACTTATTTACCCAAAAATAAAAAAAATAATAAAAAATAAGGCACAATCCAAAAGTTACCTCCAAAAGAGCCAGAGCATTTCTTTTTAGTGCTTTGAGAAGGACGTTTAGGAAATTATCTTACAATTGGATGGATGTAAAACTATAGACACAAGATCTTTTTTGACACGTACACCCTTGGTTTTCATTTTATTTTTTGATGGTCTCTCTCTCCTATATATACCATGCAAAACATGGCTATATGGGATATAAGTAGTGAGTAGCATATGAGCCCCTTTCAGCCCTATAAAGAGGAGATTGCATAGTAACATTTTCTTTCTAGTTTCTCTCACACTTTACCACTTCCCAAACATGGACAGAAACCAGTTGCAGCGACAGGTTGCCTACATGAGGAAGTCGCTCTTTGATCAGGTTAGTACTCTCTTCTTTGATGTGAATAATTAAGTTGGCCAAATTGGAATTGCAAATGAAATTCCCATTTGAACTTTGACTCTAAAATTCATTTGTATTGAATTTGCATGCAACTGTGCACAAAGTGTTTGTTTTTTTTGTAATCTGCATGGGTAGCCCTGTGGCAGAAGGGTTGAACAGGGGAGCTCAATTATAGAATAATTCCTAGAGGTTTCACAGAATGCAAAAATACTCAGGTTTAACTGACACTCATAATTTGCGGGTGATTATGTATATCTAGAGTTTATTCATAAGACCTTGTACTATATGACAAAGTGAGCCAATTGGAGTTGTCGTTCATTAAATTTTTAGTTTTTTTTTTCCTTCAAAATTAAGGTTATCTTTGGTTATTTTCATCTACCAAATATTTGTGAAAAACATATATATGTACAAAGCAAAAATGTTCAGAATCTTTTGGAAAGAAAGCTAAAGATATGAACTCTTATTTTTGAAGCATGGACAGAACTCAGAAGCGACCAAAGCGAAGTCCTATTATTTTAGTTCCACATTCCACTCACTGCATCTCAAAATGGTCTGCTAAACAAGTTCCCATCACCAAAATATCAAAAAAAGGAAAAAAAGGGAATCCAACAACCTGCTATATTCGTCAGTATTTTACAACCAAAAAACACAATGCAATGATGGGACCCGCAAACCGCATTTTTCGGTTCGCACTATGTGAGAAAAATAACAGAAAACAGTTATCGAAATAGATCATTTTGAAAATTATAACATGTCAAAATATGAGTTTGACATTGTCGAAATGGCAAAACCACTAAAGTGGTATCATGCTGTGAGGTGATAGTTCATTTAATGAGTCATTTTCAAAAAAAATTGACATCTTATGCATTTGCTATATATATTCATAAAATATATACATATATTCATAAAATAGACAAGTCAAGTTGGTAACAAGTGTTTTTATATTTTGTGCAGTAACCATCTTCAATTCTTTTTTTCTTTACTGTGTCTAAAGACATGTAAAATTATGTGGCATTGTAGGGATACCTCGATGAGCAATTTATTCAGCTAGAGGATTTGCAGGATGATGCTAACCCAAATTTCGTAGAGGAAATTGTCACATTGTTTTACAGTGATTCTGCTAGACTGATCCGCAACATTGATCAAGGACTGTAAGTAGCTAAAAACCAACAACGCAAAAGTGAAAAGAACACTCACTTATCTATAACTGATTTCCTTTGTGTATGTAAATTTATTATTGTTTTCATCACAAACTTTCTCACAATAACCGTGGTACTACTAGTAGTAGTAATGTTCATATGAACAACAACAATGAACAATAACAGTAACAATGATTAAAATTACTAACAAAAACAACAACTATTATAACTAGAATTTTTATTGATCGAAGCAGGGAGAACAATCCTCCTGATTTTGATAGGCTGGATGATTACATGCACCAATACAAGGGCAGCTGCTCAAGGTAATGTATAGAAAAACACAATCATGAAATTTCTTCTTAAGCCTAGGAAGCGCAATGCTACACAGATATGAATAAAATTGTGGCACAAATTAATGCTATTACAGATACGAATAGATTTGTCGCACAAATTAACATCCTTTACAAAGATAACTCGTCTCATCATGTTCTTGATCATTTAAGAGCAAGAAGAACAAAGCGAAGTTAATAACGATTTGAATCCTAATTTAAAGTTGTCATTTGACAACTGCCCCAAAAACTAAAGCTGCTATTCGGGTTTTTATTGTGTTCATTAATTCACAAAAAATAATATTGTATCTTTTTAAATGACAAATGTACCCTTCAAAAATAGCAACAAGGGTTTATACCCATTACCATCATTACTTCTATTTTGTTGTATTATTGGAATGGAATAATATATAAGGCAATTCCTCTGCAGTATTGGAGCTAAAAAGGTGAAGAGTGAATGCACACAGTTCAGGGAATACTGCAGGGCTGGGAATGCTGAAGGGTGATCATTTATATATCTGTTTGTTCTCATTATTTATGTTATATAGTAACTAGTGTTGCACTTATTTGATGGAAAAATTGTTTCATTAATCTCATTAATGGAATTTTGAATTTTTGCAAAAACCCTTATCACAAAGTTTTCTTGTCTGGCAAAACGACTATTCTTATAGCTGATTTTGATTCAACAAATAACATTATACATAAATATATTTCAAATCTTGAACTCTTAGAGAGAGAGGGACAACTTATTAATTATATTCTCAATACGTCCCTTTGCATGTGACCCTACTCTCCTCTATAGGCGGGCCAAACATTGCAAGTATTTTTTGATTATCAGGCTACTATATTGAATTATTAATTATAGGCCCGGCCCTGAGATTTTTGGGGTCCAAAGTCAATAATCAATTAATAAATATCACTAAATCATTTAAGGCCCTTTACATTTTTTTTTTCATTCAACAAATTTTTTTTTGAAGGCAACGGACAAAAAATTTGTGTCAAAATCACAAAAAATACTTAGTATTACATTACAACAACGAATAAGTATCACTTGATTCTCGCTTTTCTTGTATTTTTAGAAGCAAATAAATCAATCATATTTACTCTGAATTTTCAAAAATTCATTAGTGCTCTGTTGTGCAGCTTCTCACAAATTTTTGAAAAAATTGAATTAAGAGTTAGGGTTAGGAATTAGATAGGGAGATAGCATGGGCCCTTTTAATTTTGAATGGGCCTTTTAATTTTTTAATAATTTAATTTATTTTAAGTTAGTTTGGGCCTTCTTTAATTTTTTTTGGACTTAAAACATATCTAATATATTATATTAAACTATAACAGAAGGGCCTCCTTTTTTTTGGTCTATCTTGAGGGGCCCTAAGCCATAACTTGGTGGGCCTATGCCTAGGGCCGGCCCTGATTAATTACCAACTCATCTAGAAGTTTAAGTTGTTATGAAGAGAGTTTTTTTTCTTATTATTTATATCCTCTACATGCAGACATAACAGCTTGTATTTTTGTTCTTCTTGTATTTGGCAGATGCATGAGGACATTCCAACAAGTGAAGCAAGAGCACACTACCCTCAGGAGGAAGCTTGAAACTTATTTTCAGGTCTGTCTCTCTCTCATGCATGTTTGTAATGGCTAAGTCCTCTTGCTTATTGTTTCCAATTTTTTTTCAGATGGCAAGACAAGCCTATACTTGATCAGCATGTACCATGTAATAAAGATTGCAGACAAGATCTTGAGGACAAGGATTGGTGATCATATAATATATATATATTTGTACTACATAAATGCAGAAGTTGGGGGTTATTAAATAACAACAAAGGACTTGGTAGATCTTATCATATGCTGTAGGTGCCCATATATATATATTATATATGTTTTGGTTGTATAAATATTAATGCAAGTAATGCAACTTTAGCCCTTCTATTAAATACTTTTTACAACAACTTTAACTTTTCACATTCTGAAGTATTTCATTCCCACTAATGACTCTTTTGATTGACTTTGTAATCAAGAAGTCTTTTGTTGTCGTCAAATGTTTATTTGGTTGGTTGGATTGGCCCCTATGAGCTTAGTTTAGGCATGTTAAATCTTCACTTTTAACAACACGAGATCTGTTGTTTCAAATAAGATATGTATTTCTTGTCTCATGTATCGTCATATAATTTGATTTTTAATAAGTTTTTACTTAAAAAAAATCATATTCTTGCAAGTGACAGGACAAAAGATATGCATATTTTTTTGGGACAGATGATCGCAACCCACTTCTAAACATATTATCCTAATTGTGGTTCAAATTTAGACACTAATGTTTTGAAAAGGTTGACACACTAGCTTAATCATTGACCATTAACTTGATAAAGATCCATTTTGGGTGCTATCAACCTACCCTGTTCCCTAACTACAAGCACAAACTGAAAAGATTTTTCTTGACAGGAGACTTCAACACGGTATATACTCCCGATTTGGGATTCTGTACAATAATTCTAGTTTTCAATAATTGTTCAATGTTAGTTTAGGAGCGCAACCTTGTATATAAAAGTTTGAGGATAGATTTGTTTTATAACACTTATAAACATTGGATCATGTGGAAATTTTGACGTACAAAAATCTCGAAACATAATCTAATAATAATGAGTGTTTTGAGATAAAAGACAAAATGATTTGAGAAGACAAAATCCTATTGGATTTTCAAGAGTCAAATTTGCACAGCCCAACCTTTAAACATGGGTCACACTAATGGCAGTACATTGGACTGTATTAAGAGATATAAAATGACAAAAAAAAAAAAAGAAAAAGGTTAGAATCACAATACAACTTTTACACATCTTTAAATATTTTTACATTTTTAATACATTTTTTTTTACACATTTGTCAATATTAATGACAATACAAAAGCAAGTGTACGGGAAAGAAATAAACCTTCTCGTATAATCCTGTTGATCAAGTCTGCGCTCCTCCATGCGACGTCGCTTTACTCCCTGAAAACACAAACGTGAGCTAGCCGGCGGGTGTGTGCCAGATACCTCTCCGATGTCTAAGTCAGCAAAATAGACAATTAGACAAAAAGCTCTGTATATTCGGAAATCAAAGTTGTGTTACCTCTCCATAGGTGATGTTATGAGTTTTTATAGGTTCCGTGTGGCACAATCCTAATAGGATTTTTACTCCTCCATGTAGAGTCCTCCTAGGAATCACATTCCTGAAATATAATACTTATCCTTCAACACCCACTCACTGCTTAAACCAAGTGAGATGGTTTTACCATAGTTGGATGTCAATACAACCGAGATAACATAGTCATGCTAAAACCGCAGACTAGACCAAGCTTCCACTAGCTCGGTTCTTCCTTTCACTGCGTGTACCTCGGTTTGACATATTCCAACTGGGTTGTCCGAGACCACACTAACCACAACGAGCTTGGACCGAGCTAACGAATAGCAAGGTTCTGAGGAAAGCTTAACATACTTCGGCTCAATATGGTATGACTGAGTCACTGAGCTAACTGTTACCGCTCTGAGTGTGGTGACCGAGCTAACAGCAGAGCTCTCTTGGACCGAGCTAACCCTTGCTAGGTCACTTCCATACCTGGACCGAGCTAACACCTGGACTACAGTCCACTTACTAAGCCCTTCTTACTATGGCCCATAGAACGGCCCATTACCCAGCTCGGCCCAATTTACTCATAAATTACCCTCTCAGCAAGCATAGACTAAAATCTGTTTAGTCAAGGACATAATTAAGGACAATTTATTGAGGCACCAACCAGATCATAACCAATGCAGCTTATGAAGTATTTCTAAGCTTAAGCCTAATAATAAATTATGACAACAAAAACAGTTGAAATTGAAAATTTCTCTAAAGAGAAGAGACATGGCAAACTACATATATGGTACCTTTTGGCAAGGACAAGAGCAAGGTCAGATCCTTTGTTCAAATTCTTTCATGTCTCCTATCTTAAGCCTCTTCTGTACTACATGATTTTGGTTGGATTGCACAATAAAGTAGGGTTTTTGAATCGAAGAGATCCAGACAGAGAATTTCCTATTGAATCAGACCACTTTTCCTTAAGGCAACTCTAATGAATGAATCATAGGTAATAGGTGCAAGTAGTGCAAGTTGCCATTTGTAAACAATGGACATGCTAGAAAAGAATAAAACAAAAAGACACAAAAAAATTATTTTCCACAAGAATTTTCTGACAAACTCTAATATAAAGTCAAGGAATTATATGTGATGACTAGATGTCCTTTACCTATGTTTCTTATGCCTTTAATAATCACACTCATCATCATTATTAATTCTAAAATGGACAAAATCTATGGTATATTCACTTGTGAATTCTTAATCATAACAAATATTTTCAACTTAGAAGTTAGGGCCATGAAATTAGGGTGTACAGTTCACATTATTTAGGATATCAACAAGAAATATCTTTATCACAGTCATTATAATCATAATTATGCATGATATTCTAATTATGAGAGAGATTAGAGAAATAGAGAGATCTCATATTTTCAAATTTTTTGTCTTTCTATGCTAATGCATTTCTAGTCATAAGATCATGTAAAAATCTCAAGATATGATCTTACAACTGGGAATGAATTGGAACAGAAAAACAGAGAAAATTCAGGATATAAGATCCTAAAAAAGCAAAAAGAGAAGAAAGCAAAAAGGACAGAAAAAAAGAGGTCTTAAAAAGTGAAGTGGGACATGTTCTATCAACTCAATGACCCTTAAAGATAAATTTATAAGTGGGAGTGTTAGGCCCTCCACTTAAAGATAAAAAATTATTAGTTATTTTTAGAATATCATTCATTTGGTATTCTTTTAATTGTTAAAAATTTATAGTATATATTAAATAAATCTTTATTTGTCTTTTAACTACTTAACAAAAAGATAAATCAACTTATCTCATGCATAAAACTCTTTGCTACATAATTTGTTGGGAAGATTACCCAATAAATACAAAATGTGCTCTTAGAATTACACCATAATGATGATTTGATATGTGTACTCATATGTTCATTGAACACTTCTAGTCATGCATTTCCCTCTAAAACAAATGAGAAAAAGCTCAATGCACTATGGAACAAAAGCAAGCTTCCCACCCACCCATCAATACTCTCATGTCATGGGTGATGCAATCTGGATGCTTATGTTTGGATATTAAATTTGTAAATAGAGAAAAAAAAAAAATTAAAATAGTCTAAAGTGAAGAATTAATGCAAGAGTTATCAAAATAAGATGAAAAATGATATATAGGGTGAAAATTGACTTGAAACTTATTGGCGTGACATATATGAATTAATCAATGTTTGTCACTTCAATCAGTTTCAAGTTGACATTTTGTCCGAAAAACACGACTCCAATAATAAATAAAAATGCAAAGGATTGTGTTCATTTGCTTTTCCATGTCGTATTGACTAAATGATTTAAATCTCTTTGGTTATGGTGCATTGGTCTCATGTAGCTCTACTACATAGTCCACAATGTTTTACTACAGTTGATTTGGTGATTCAATAACATGTTAGTAGTATAAATTCATTTTCTTCTCTCTTTTTGTTTTTGTTTTTGTTTTTGTATTTGACTTTATCAGAATTGTTCAAGAATTTGTTTTTTAAGTGAGGTTGAATTGATACTGAAGCTCTTTCTCTTTTCAATGAAAAGGAGCTTTCTCAACAAACTTGAGTTCAAGCTGCTCATGAGTAGCTCCATTCATTCCTGGTCTACATGCGTACACTAAAGTGGCGGTTGACCTCAATATAGCCTTACAAATCTATCTCACAGTGGAAATGTCAAAATTTTATGAATGGAAAGTAAGCTCGTACTCAGGCATTAAAAGCACGAGTTTTCTAAACAGATTTGTATCATAAATGCTATTTACTCATTTTTTTTCAAAGGATTAAATTTATTGTGTATATGTAAACTCAAGTATAGAATGGGTCATTTGTGCATTTCAATTTTAGGAACTTTACTGGATATTTTTTTCCTTTTTTCTCTGAGTACGTAGCATTGTTGTATTTGTATTCAAGAACTAAGACGCCCAGTCAATAGGCACATTCTCTTGATTGAAAAATTCCATTAGCATATTACAGGGTTTACTTGGCAAATGGGACCAATCCTAGTGAACTACAAGTCCTCCAAGTCCAATGACCAAAACCAATGTGGTATATTGTACACATTTTTTGGGTGGCACATATAAAGTCAACCATTTGAGTCTGACTGTAACTTAGGGTTTTTAAAAAGATTGTATCCAGTGAACAAGCTCTCACTTCATAGAAAAAGTTAAAAAAAAAGTTATAAGTAGAAAACCTTGCCTCAAATTTTACAAAGAGAGTGATTCTTGTTATTTGAATTGGCCCTGCAACAACATAGCATATTAGCCCTTCCTGTCAAAAGTGATAAATAATTAGGATGGTGAGACACAATTTTCTTTAATATTTTACATCAATAGTCTCGTAATTAAGCTAGTGGCCGTGTTCCATTACAGCTCTTAACAAAAAATAATAAGTGAGCAATACTTTACAATTAAAACTACAATAACCAAATTGAAATAAAAAGAAAAAGAAAATTACAGAGAATAGAATTTGCCCTTAGCAAAAAAAGCATAGAGTGGTCATCTAAGTTTGACAAAGTTTTGAAGAGCCCTTCATCATTGTTAGCCTTGGAAGTGAACCACAATGGCATTTCCACTTGGGCCCCAATGGTGGAGGTGTATGTGTATCCCAAGTGAAATTTCCACTAGGGCTTAGGTGCTTTCACTTTTACATTGGACATGCAATTGGTGATATACCCACTCAGGCATGCATTGTGGGGAGTGGTTTTCTGAGAAAATGAAAGTTGATGGAGGGGTGTCCTACAAGGAAAGATAGACATCTTGTCCAATTTAGAGTTATTCAAGTGAGGGACATCTAAATTAGGGAAATGAAATGCTAGATTCTTTGTGAAAGAAACTATCTTTGTAATTGGTGTTTCTCTTGAACATCAACAAAAGAAATAGCGTTCTTGATTTTTTACATGAAAGGCCACTTACGAGTTGTGCTTCTCAATGGCCTTGTTCACAAGAAAATTTCAAAGAGAATAACATTAAAAAAAATGAAAAGAAAAGAAAAGAATATGAGTAATGCATGATGTACAAGCAAGACAAAACATATAAAAAATTTATGTAGAATAATACGACTAAGCCTATCACTTCAAAATAAAGAAGATGGGTTTTTACCTAGCTTAAGTCTGTACCTTGGGTAGGTTGGTAGGTTGGCCCAACCCAAATGAGGCTTAGGCTAGGCCTGAGCCAAGGGTTTGAAACTCATCCTGCCTTGTTGGCTTAAGAGGTAGCCTTCCTCGTAAAAAATATGAAACAGCTCACAAGCTTGTTGGGCATGGCTTGAATTTTGACCCTTTGGAATAAGCCCGTGAGCTCATCCGTTGGCCAATGAGAGGTTTCTCGTTGACCAGCTCATAAGCCCGTTGGGCATGGCTTAGGTGCAGGATTTTGCCTCACAGCTTAACTCAACCCGACATAAAAAGCTCGCTGGGTTTACCTTACGAATGAACTTAGATGTTATTTTCACGGACCCTACCAACTTGACCCGATGTGGACCCTTAACTGGGCAGGGTCAAAGCCAGCCCATTGGTTCATATATTTATAGATAGATCATGTTAACGCAACAGTAAAGCAATGGCATATGGTTCTACAGATCAATTTACCTTTATTATTCTCAATTTATAAACACACTAAGTGGTTTAGTACTCTTAAGTGGTTTAGTTTAACCCCATTGACAAAGCATACTCGATTTTTTTTTTATTAAATCTTTTTAAATACAGTGAAGATTGTCCTACAAACGCAACAGTAAAGCAATGGCATATGGTTCTACAGATCAATTTACCTTTATTATTCTCAATTTATAAACACACTAAGTGGTTTAGTACTCTTAAGTGGTTTAGTTTAACCCCATTGACAAAGCATACTCGATTTTTTTTTTCTTTACAAAAATAATCAAAGGGACACGCGTGAAGCTTTGATTTCAAACCAACGAGGCCAGTAGAACTGAATGTAAGTTAGTGCTCAATGGGTCTATTCAATCAATTCTTGTAACCCTACTTTGTATGTGACATTTTTTCATAATAAAAAAGAAAAAAAAAAGAAAGTAAAAGGTCTTGCCATCTTGGATAAATATATATATAAAACAATAAACTATGGGTTGCTTTTCCTTTTTTCTTTTTGTTAAGTTCAAAAAATAAAAATAAAAATTGAGTGTGATCAAAGTAGCCCTTACTTGTTAGAGAGCAAAACATAGAGAGCTTAAACAGATCTATCAAAGTGAGGTATCACGACAGATGCTTTTTCAAAATGGACTTGAGTTATAATTTGAACATAATTTTATTGAAAATAAAGTGGCAAGAACCATTGGTCCAAAATTAATATAAGCTAAAGTTTCACTCGAAGCATCGTCTTAAGAATACCAACTCATGTCCGCCAAATTACTTAGGATTAAGGCCCACCACCAAACCACCTGGCTTGGGCGGCATGTGGCTTTTTGTTTGCTTTTCTCTCTCTCTTATTATTATTATTTTTTAATTTTTGAGTAATGTTATATGTAAATAAATTTCTAAAGCAATTTTCTTATGATTAGACATGAAAATAATTAGGTTCACATTAATAAATACATGTGGGATTCAAATAATAAAAAATAATATATATATATATATATATGAGATAAAGAATTGGTTTATCTATAACATTATCTATTGTTTATTTTACTCTAATGAATAAAAGATCTCAATCTTGGGGTGTGAATGACCCCCAAGACTTGGTCATCAACCATGTAATATATGTGACAAAAAGATTCCCATGTTTGCGTACTAAGTTATGTTTACATATGTAATTTGCAAACCCTTTCTTGCGTGGCTTTGAGCTAAGAAAAGATGGGAAAAGAGACAAAGGGGAAAAAGGGAAAAAGAGCCCACTTTCTATAAATCCAAACACATTCAATTCAACACAAGACATAAAACTACACACACATATATATACCATTACACCTCTCTCTTTCTCTCCTTGTCCATCACTTGGTTCTCTTTTCTGGGTTTCATTTTCCTGGAAAAGAAAGTTATTAGTCCAAGCTGAGAAAATGAAGTACAAGTAGTGCTTCTCCCGATTTAAGTTTGTGGTGAAGGTATATCATATGTACAACTTTCTCTCTTTGTTTGTTTTCCCATCATTTAGTTTTCTAAAATGATAATTGGGAATTTGTTATTTTCCAGGGAAATCTCTTTTTTACGTCAAAGTTGCTTCTTCTTCTTTCATTTTCTTTTTCGGGAAAATAATGGAGGAACAAAAGCTGGAGCTGAGGCTTGGTCCTCCAGGAGATCATGACAGTGCTCTTCTAACTCTTGGTTACAACAGCAATAATAATAGTTGTGGAATCAAAAGAGGTTTAGAAAGCACTCTTCTTGAAGTGAAAACTGGAGGAGAGAGAAATTGGCTGACAAACAATAAGTCTACAGGTTCCACAAATACAGAGAAAAGGTTATATCTTGCTTTCCTTAATTTATACTCTTTTTGGCAATCCCTTTTTTCAGTCTTTAGAATATTATTTTTGCTATATATACATAAGACTTTAGATTAAATTATGTCAAAAGTCCTTAAACTTCGCATATATATATATTTTTTTGATTAAAGGGTAGTTTGGGATAGTCTAAATAAGTGCACTTTTTGACTTTTTATGAAATATGTGTTGGGTATGGGTTGGATTTGAAATAATGTGTTATAGAGGTGATGTGACTTAAATAGGATAGTGACTTTTTGATTTTTTTAAATCATGCCAAACAAGGCCTAAGTCTTACGTTAAATTTTTATCCAATTTAAGTTCTCTAACTTCTCAAATCGATTCTACGTACATCTTTTGTTACATTCTGCCCACCTTTTGCTATTAAATAGATTATATAGAACCAATTGAAGGTGTAAAGTAGTTATTATATATATATATATATATATATATGTGGGGAAGTATTTTGCGAATGACGTCACGTGGCTAAGATAACTCCAAGATGTTGGCTAACGTGTCACGTGGATGAGTCATGTTTGCCGAGGTGATCACGGCATTGCCGAGATGTTCTACAGTAATGTCGGAATCTCGAGATATTTGGATAAGTGGCAAGAGTCCTATAACAAAAGAGGCTCACAATTTGGATAGAGATAAGACTCATGAGGAGTTTAACCCTATCTAGCCGAGAGTCCAAGATGAGCATCGAGTTTGAGTCCAACGAAGTAAGGCTTGTAGGGACTAGGTCACTGCTGGTTATAAAAGTAAGGTACTCTCGTGGGTCTCGTGGTAGGTTCTTACTTGTGAGTTTAAGTACTGTTTTGATATCTGTGAGAGATAAGATTTACTGACTTGATCGTCGGAATGCCCCAGGTGGACGAACCACCGCGGTATTCTCATCTTCTTGTTGGCAAGTAGTTGGCTCAATCTATCTTGCCAGGTAGTTGGCTCAATCTATCTTGCCCGTTCTTTCTAGTGAAGTTCCATGTTTAGTTGTGTGGTCGGAAATCAACATCTACAATATATATATTTAATCATATCAAAACAAACATAACAAAAACAATTCCATAGACCATCACCCTCCCTTCACTAACATATATTTCTGAGGTTGATAATGGGTTTTTTATTTTTATACCAGGAGAAAAGTGTTTTGGGGTTAATTTATTAATTTATCATTTAGGTTGGTCCCATATGATATATCAATTGCCAAAAGTAGAAGAAATGTAACAGGAGGGCTAATTCGGAACGATTTGGAAAGTTGAAGGGCTTTATTTTCGGCAAATTTTTTTGTTTAGGAACTTAATTGAAAGAAGTGCAAATTTCAAGGGCTTTTGATATAATTTACTCTAAACTTTAATGCCATTTTTGTAGCACTACTCTAACAAAAATGTGTTCTATTTTTCAAATTGGAATTTTTTTTTCCCAACATTTTTACTCATGAAAATTAAACTAAAAATGGCAGAATTGCGGTGGCTCCAGTTGTCGGGTGGCCTCCAATTGGCTCTTTTAGGAAGAACCTTGCAACCAGCAGCTCTCCAAAGGCAGCATTTGAATCACCAAATGAGGTTTCAAAGGTTTTATTAAGTGAAAATGTTGAAAATCCTGGGAACAGCTTGTTTGTGAAAGTCAAAATGGACGGAGTACCCATTGGAAGAAAAATAGACCTCAAAGCATATAATAACTATGAAACACTTTCCTCTGCTGTGGATGAACTGTTCAGATCTCTTCTGGCAGGTATTATTACTTCCATACAAACTCAAATTTTAGATATTGGATTTTTTGTGAATTGGCAAAAATACCCTTATGTAACCTTTCAAGAAATATTAACTAAGATACATTTTTGTCAATTACCGTTTTCTTTAGCACATATCCTCTCCAGTCAATTGGAAAGGAGCCGAACCCTTTCCTTTAAGATGAAAATCCATTTATGAGAATATATTGATTACTAAAAGGTGTTTGAAGGAAATTTTGATACGAGCAAATTGTGATGATTCTTTTCTCTTGAATGAAGGAAATATATGATCGTGGTGTTAGTAGTAAGTACAGATTTTTGAACAATGTTGTTGCTGAATTATCACTCTATAGATTTGAACCTTCATATGCTTATCATCATCATCATCTTCATCTTCTTCCTTCTAGCACAAATGCATCACTCTGTCAATTTAGAGGGAGAAGAAACGGTGGAAACGAAAGGCATAAGTGGATTATCCGAAGGGAATGGGGAATACACCCTAGTTTATGAGGATAATGAAGGAGACAGGATGCTTGCTGGGGATGTTCCATGGCAGTAAGCATTTTACCTCTCCCCCTCTCTCTCTCTCTCTCTCTCTCGCATGGGAGCCCTTATTCTTTTTTTAAAGCGTAAAATCAACAGAAGCTTGACGTGTGTTTGATGTGGGCAAGGTGTTTCCAAAATACTACGAACTCAAAAGAAAGTTACAAAAATATACATATAATGCAGTGTTGGTAGAATGAATGGGCTGGCAGCATTGCATAATGTGTATTCTGCTAGAAATGTGAATGTGCTTGTCGACTTACTGCAGGCTAGTTTTGGATGATGCAGTCCCAATCCTAGTCTGTTATTTTATATGAATATGTATATTTTCATCATTAATTTTAGGACATGTTTTGTGCAGCATGTTTGTGTCCACGGTGAAGAGGCTTCGTGTGCTGAAAACATCTGAACTTTCATCTGTGCGAGGTAAATTTTTTTTTATTTTAATTTTAAATTTTTTGTCTTACTAAACAATGTATAGCTTTAGATCAATGATTTGAGTTTTGGATCTTATCAGTAAACAGCAAGAAGCTTGGACAGGCACAATCTGGTTCCGAAACAAAGGCATGAAGACAAAAGTGAATTCAAAGTACAAAAATCTCCATCCTCTAAAGTCCCTGCCTTTGGGATATTCACATTTTAATAATATATATTATTATTGCATCACTCTCTAGATGCAAAAAAAAAAAAAGGTGGACGAACCACCGCGGTCTTTGTTTGTACTCTCTCCTCTTTCTTTGTAGACAGTTTCCTTATCTTTGTCATTTTCAATTGTTAGACCTTTGCTTTTGTAATATATTGGTGAGTGTTTTTAATGCCATCAATCGCGAATTCGAGCCTCCTCATCTTTGCTGGAGGTATGCTTGTGGAAGCGCCAGGGTTCATCCTAGGTTGTACCCTATACATCCTAGGTTGTACCCTATACGGGTGCGTCCAAAGGTGTTGGAGAGGTTCCCAGTCATAAAAATAAATAAATAAATAAACCCCCCACGAATGCCAACAGTAGCATGACATGGATAGTAAGAAAAATAATGCCACCACATGAATTTTACCAATTTTTTTTTCAACTTCTTACAAGGATCATCATCACAACAAACATGTGTACACACGTGGTGCATATCAACCAATAGAGGAAACTACACAAAAACACAGGAAACAGAGTATGTGAAGCAGTGTTCAACTTAACTCATCTCCTGCCAGCTGGGGATTAAAAATTCCAACATGCTTAAAATCTCGATATGTATCAGCCAATATTTAAATCGCTGGTGTCGACAGCATCTTTTTCCAACAAAATTTTCCGGGATTAGAAGAGAACACGCAGATTAAATCAGGCAGACCTTGTTACTAGTATCAATTCCTGGTGCTTTGCTTCCACTAGTTGGTCCTAGCTTGTGTAGTCAGACTCAGACACCTAACTAGACACACACAGAGTGAGAGATCAAATAAAAAGCAAACCAAAGTTTTCCATTCAAGGGGGAAAGAAGCCATTATGAGTTTCACATAGTATCCATGTTACAATGATTTAAAAAACTGCCACTGATTCCTATCTTTGAAGACATGGATATTGGGGGTGAAATTGATGAAAACAGACACTAGACAATTCCACGGCAATGGCTGTGCTGGAAAACAAACACACACTTCTCACAGAATAAGGATTTATAGAATGCTACATATTGATATATACTTCTGCATCCAGGAAGATTGGCGCAGGGAATCAAGGGACAAACCCAATATCCTTAAAGTATTCATGCTCAAGAGCACTTCTAGCTGTAATTCTTCTGCTTGGATCCAAACAAAGCATTTTCTGCAAAACAAACACACAAATGTGTTAGTAACAGGAACACTAAGATTGCAGCAAATGCTCTTTAAATACTGTGTAACATATGCATTTATTCATTTGCAAATCTAAAAAGTAGTGATTGAGCTCAAATAGTATTTATCCATTTGCCTCTTAACATGTTCTTTACTGAGATACACTCGAGCTATGTTTGGATCTTGGATTAGTGGAGTAGAAATAAGGGGGGGAAATTATGAGTAAAGAAAATAATGTATAGGCTAAAAGTTTCTCTTTTTTGGTTTGAGTTTAGGAAAATGAGAAGAAATTCAATATATATTTGGCTGGTTACCTATAAAAAATGACTATGTACAAGTAATTCAATTTCTCTTTACTTTTCCCTCAATGAATCTGGGATTCAAACACAGCCTTAGTAAACAAAACAAAAGATCCATTTTAAACAAATGTAAGCATTAACTTACACTAAGAAGATCCACACCAACTGAGTCAAGATTTGGGACCACAGAAGCCAGGTCCTGCAAAGTAGAGGATTCACCATTTAAATTCCGGTATTCAATAACAAGAAACGTTAAAGGAGCGAAATGTCCAAAATCCAAACACCTTTGACGGCCACTTTGGAAAGGCAGATTTAAAATCAGGCAAAGAAGTCACTCCAGGCCATGTATCCTCATTTGGAGTACCCAAGACTCTTCACAGGAAGAAGTAAACATACATCAGTAAAAAAGAGAACTAAATCGAAGAAAATTACCTGCAGCTCCTCCACTAAAGCAAGGTTACTGATATCTTCAGTTATAATATTAATTAAACTTTTTCTGATAATTATATATTTTCTTAAAAATAATTACATTGTCAGGATATAATTTCAAAGCAATGCATACAGATGTACGAGCTGTGAGTTCATAAAAAATTTATAAAGAGCAAAAATGTTGTCAGGAGCTGTAGACCTGAAAATTTTGAATAGTTCATCAATCTCAGAGTCACCAGGAAACAATGGTCGCTGGTTCACCATCTCAGCAAATATACAACCCACTGACCACACATCAACAGGAGTAGAATAGTGACGGGATCCAAGCAGTATTTCTGGTGCCCTGTACCATAGAGTCACCACCTGAAAAGAGAAACTGATGAGCAATAGATATGCAAATTGTTAGATCACCAATTGTCCAAAAAGCATAAGCTATTAGGAAATAGGCCCAACATTGTACATCAAGCTATCCCAACACAATAATATATCAACTTGAAAGGCATGTCATTGAAAGTTTTATTCCTTCATATGAACTTTACAACTACAACTTGCAGCTTGGTATGATCATATTAGCGCATCTAGGAGATATGTATACTTCTTAGAGTCACTCAAAAACAAACAAACTACCATTACAAGCATTTTAAGTTGTTCACAGGATCCATGACTTCTGAAATTGAGAAGTGAAACAACCTCAAACCAGTCCAGTTACAAAACAGCCCCATGAAGCTCATTTTTACCCTAAATTGTCATATCATTTTCATTCTCATGGATTTTACCTTCTTACTATTGAAGGAAAATAAAAATAAAAAATTAATTCATGGACTGCAGTCGTCACATTACGAGGCTTTTTTTAAGATGTAAAATATAGGGAAAAAAAATCACATAAAGAGAAAAGTATAGGTTGCAGAACAGAGAGAGAGAGAGAGAGAGAGAGAGAGAGAGAAAATAACATGGAGATCATATTTATTAACAATTAAAACATAGTGGGAGAAACTAAGCCCAAGCCTCATATTACCTCATGCGTAAATGTCCTAACAGGAATACCAAATGCTCTAGCCAATCCAAAATCTGCAAGTTTTAGGGCATTCGTCCTGCGATCTATCAGCAGGTTCTGAGGTTTCAGGTCTCTATGGAGAACCCTGTGCGAATGACAATAAGCAATACCACGAAGAATTTGGTACAGAAACATCTGCAAATTGAAGAGGGCAACCAAATAATATTTAATTTTCAGTAGCCTGATTAGGTACTGTCACAATCTTCAATGCAATCAGATATGAAGAATGCAATCAATTTAAATTTGTCAAATGCATGTGTTTCCAAAATTCCAAAGGAATTCAATGAAAATAAGGGGAATTCATTGAAGATTTACAATACCAGAATTCTTTCTCTCTTTGCTTCTTACCATTTTTGATCCCAGGGTTCTAGGGAGAGAACCAAGTTAATTGCTAATAAAACAACTAAAATCACTTACAATCTGGATATCACTATGAAATAAACTAATATGATGTCGGCACCCAGATCTCTATTAGCTCTCTATTGCAAGTCTCTGGATACGTTGAACTAAACCTCCAGGGTTACATCTATAAAGGAAATTTCAGAAATTGTGTGTGTGTGTGTGTGTGTTTTCTTTTACATACAATTGCTTGCAAATCTTGAAGCCACAGTATGCACCAACCTCCAAAAGGCAGGAAGATCTCACTCACTTTTATCAGCCGTGGATCCTTAGAGAACTCGGGACATGAATCCATGTGTTTCTTCAAATCCAAGTCCAGGTACTCAAAAACCAGATACAAACGCTTTTCACTGTGCACAACATCCTGTAACCTGTAACCCAAAAATTTATCAAAAATTTTAGTACAGACATATTCATAACAATATTGAAGAAGGGTTCAACAATATAATCAAAAATAGAAAATCAACATTGATTTTCATTAGATGTTTTCCAGCAGGCTCAGCGCTGCAATGCATTCAACCAAAATCCTACTATTTCAATGTATCTATCCATCCCAAACACACCAGCAAGTATGCATGTCAGAAACCAATTCAGAACTCCACCTTGTAACTCTCCTTTTATCCTTTTTTTTTTTTTTAAATGCTAGCAAAAAACATGCGCTCAGATATGCATGCACAACAATAGCTACTACAAAAGGGATTTTGCTGTGCAAATAATAAAATCATGTTGCTGCTCCTATCCTATGCCATTCTTTTCCTGAGGATACTACCTATTCTCATCCAAACTCAATTTTCCTAAAATTATTGGCACACATCTGTTTTAACCTTTCAAATAAGGATGCAATTTCTGCTGGCTAACTTGCAAAGTTGTCAAAAAAAAAAAAAATCATTTTCCTTATCTTTAGCCTTTATGATACATAAATGTATTGAAGAAATGAAACAAAGTGGTGAAATAAAATACACCTAAAATAAAAAGGACAAGTGAATCCTGTCATCGAAGATGAAAGGTTTAATTTAAGGCCAATGACACACTGTCTCAAATCAACAGAAATATGTTGCAACTTGCATCATCCAAGACTAGGATACTCTTTCATAGTTTTGGTCATGCACAAGGAAAAAAACAATCCGAAGTTCACATACATTCAGGCTATTTAATGGCTAACTCCTGTGACATGGTTCTGTCAACATAAACAAAGAATTCACCCCATTTTCCACACTGGGATCTTGCTTGCCACACTCTTAAATTTATTAGGAAAACATTTGATGGTAACATACCTGACAATGTTTCCATGCTGCATCTCCTTCAATAGAGAAATTTCTCTAATTGCTGTGCTTGGTACGCCCTCATCTTCTTGCTCCAATCGGATCTTCTTCAAAGCTATGGTTTCATTGGTTACACGGTCACGAGCCTTATAGACCACGCCATAGGTTCCTTCACCAATCTTCTCAACTTTTTCATACTACAATGTTCACAAACATCACATTCTAATGCGAGATGACAATAACTAAATAAAAGGAATGCAAAGTCTTTTACCTGGTCCATCTTACCCACGTCAAACGGACCCACCACTGGAGGAAAAGCTCTAAAGCCAAGTAGAGAGGCAACACAGAAGAAGAAAAAAAGTTTTAGAAAACCATACGGCTAACAAATCATATAAGGTGCACAATCAAATGATAATGCACCAAAAAAAAATAAATACAAATAAGGCCCCGTTTGGGGACTTACTTTTTTAGCCAATTAGCCAAAAAGTTACTAAATTAGCCAAAAAGCCAACAACTCATACCAAAAAGTCAAAGATTCTCTTTTCTCTCTACTTTTTGCACATCTTTTCGTAATTAGCCAAAAAGTCATCCCAAACATACAAGTTTTTTTTACTTACCTTTTTAGCCAAATAGCCAAAAAGTTACTAAATTAGCCTGTTCCCAAACGAGGCCTAAGCAACAGAGAATTGGACACGAGCAGTCCCAAACATAAAACACAATCAAGAAGTAGCAGACAAACACTCCTTTGCAATAATCCAGTAATACAGGAGTCTATCATTTATTTCCAGAAGAAAAATAACCATAGACCTAGCAAAAGAAAACAAGATGACAGTGGTTGTCTTCAATTCTTTTCCACTTTAAAATCGAACCAATCCATGCCAAAATCCAGGGACTTATTACTCACACTAATTATTTTCTCTTTACCACTTCAATTTCCACCATAAAAGTATCTCTCTCTCTCTCTCTCTCTCTCTCCATGCTTTGGTACTAGCTGCTTACAAAGGAAAATTATAACTTGTTATCCATTTTTGCCACAACTGGCATTTCCATAATTTGGAGTTTTTAATCGACATCCAACAGAGACCAGTACAAAAATCCTGATTGGATCAAACACATTTGTTTCAAGCAAATTACTGTAAATACTTGTAAGTTGTACATCAAACCAAACAGCAAAAACACTAAAATTTACAAAATGCACATGCGATGTTGATCTTTCAATACATCAATGTCAATTGAACAAGCTCCTCACTGCTGATTACCACTACACAAGCTATAAATGCATGAAAAAAAGTGCTAATGATACGTATATAGGGAGCGAACTCTACCGATTTCAGTTCTGATCTCTGTAAAAACACTACAATGGCAACATAATCAGATCTCGTAAATCACACATCCATAGAAAGCAGATCTCTAACATTTTCAGAGCAATGTGAAGTAAAAGAGAGACGATTGCGAAAGAAAGGATTTACCTGGAAAATGGATGAGAGAGTGAGTGGGTTAGAGATGTTCCGATGATGATGATGATGATGAGTGAAAGACAGAGAGAGAAAAACACATTTTTTTTTATCTTTTCTTTTTAATGTATTGATGATGATCAGTTGGGAAACCCTAACCCTAACAACTCAGCCACACGCATACACACATCCTCACACTCACTTGTTCACTTCATCTGTCTGGGTCAACCATTGGTTACTACTTACTGCCACTGCGAGCAGTTCTTACCGCTCTTTTTTATCACTCATCACGATGCTTTTATTTTATTTATTTATTTAATTATTTTATATTATTTTTAGTGTATCTTATATTTATGGCTATATCTGGAGGAATGAATTATTTTGTTTTTCAAGAATTTTAAAATGGAATTTTTGATGAAACTTATCTTTTGAGTCTTTTTATTAGGATAAAGGATAATTTAATCAATTTTCTTTCAAAAAAAATCCTTGAGTAGGAGATGTCTGCCTCAATAAGGACAGGGAGCTTCTATTTACACACACTCATTCCCCTCTTTACACATCTTTTTCAATAAATAATTGGTTCGGAAGTAGATTTTCGAAAATAAGCAATTGGTTCGGAAGTAGCTTTCCGAAAATAAACAATTGGTTCGAAAGTAGACTTCCGAATTTTTATTATTTTTTCGACAATCAACTTCCGAATGGGTTTATTTGATGTCTATAATAGTAATTTCACATGAAAAAAAAATTTATAATAAAAATAATTTTTATGAAGTGTGTGCAAAGAGGGGAAGGTGGATGTGTAAATAGAAGCTCCCATAAGGACATTATATAATTTTTTTTATGACAATATTGCCCTTCTATATATATATATATATATGTATTATATATTTGAAATCTGTGCTCATGTATAATATACGAATCTTATATTTATGGCTATATCTGGAGGAATGAATTATTTTGTTTTTTAAGAATTTTAAAATGGAATTTTTGATGAAACTTATCTTTTGAGCCTTTTTATTAGGATAAAGGATAATTCAATCAATTTTTTTTCAAAAAAAATCCTTGAGTAGGAGATGCCTGCCTCAATATGGACATTATATAATTTTTTTTATGACAATATTGCCCTTCTATATATATATATGTATATGTATTATATATTTGAAATCTGTGCTCATGTATAATATACGGATTTGCAACAATTTGCAAAATTAGGAACAAAATCAATGAAGACGATCTCCAAATTTGAAGATGTCGCAGCCGTCAATAATAGACGATCTCTTTGCCGACGATCAACACTCTCAATTAAACGAGAGTTTCATTGAGATTTGTGAGTGTTGATCGAGTTTTAGAGGTTTTTCTTCTTATTCAGGTATGTTGATTTGTTGATTAATTATTTTTTGTTGTTTGTTTGTTTTTGTTTTTGTTTTTGATTTATTTTTGTCGTGTTTGATCTGATTTCGTTTGACAGAATCAGAATAAAATTTTACTCTGGTTCTATTGCTTTGTTTTTTGTTTGAGAGAATGAGAGTAAAATTTTACTCTGGTATGTGCTATGTTTTTGTTTGAGAGAATGAGAGTAAAATTTTACTCTAATATATGCTCTGTTTTTGTTTGATAGAATGAGAGTAAAATTTTACTCCGGTGTTAGAATGACAGTAAAATTTTACTCTGGTATTTTATACTTCTGTTATTTGTGTTTTGGACTTGTAGTGACAGTAAAATTTTACTTTGATTGATAGTAATTTTTACTATTAATTGATTATAGATTTGTAAAGTGGTTCCACCTTCTATGTTGTTATGCAAGTATGGTGTTCGTACCATTGTGTTCAAGGTTGTGTCAAACTGTACATTGAAGGATTTAATTGATTTCTTAAGTTGTAAATTGAAGAAGTTTGACAGTAGTGGTTGTATACTGTTATCGTACTGTTTACCTGGACATTTGCAATGCATGATTGATGATGATTCTGATTTTCAAAATATGTTGTTGCTTGTTTATCCCCTTGGTGTTGACCGGGTTGATGTAACTATTACTAACATGGGCATTTCAAATGAAAAACATCGAGTTCGAGAATCAGAGGACGCTAGTGAATCCAACATTACTAATGATGGAATGGATTTACTCCTTATGTTTTGTGAATATGAAAAAAGGACTTTGTTGTCTTGTGGATGGGTGAATGGAATTACTCATGTGGGTCAAAGATTTATTGGAGGTGAAAAGGATTTCCGGACTACATTATGTAAATATGCCATTGAAATAGGATTTGAGTTTGTGTATATGAAGAATGAGAAGTGTCGGGTCACTGCTGTATGTTTAATGCGGAAGTCCAAAGATTGTTTATGGCGAGTACATATATCTCTAGAGAGTGCTAATAATTTTTTCTACATTAGGACTCTACATCATAATCATAGTTGTGGAGCTGTAGTTCGTACTTCTAAGAACTCAAGGATGAGTTCAAATTTGGTTGCAAGTTTGATTGTTAATGAAGTTTGTGAGAATCCCTAAACTCGTCAAATTGATGTTGTGCGTCAATTTATAGATCAATACGGGCTCACCATTACGTACAATCACGCTTGGTTGGGAGTTGAGAAAGCTAGGACTAATACTTTTAGGGATTTCTCTATGTCTTATGATAAGATTCGATGGTATATGGCTATTGTGATGAGCACAAATCCTGGTAGTTATTTGCGTCTTGACTATAACCATCAAAGTGGACGATTCAAGAGGTTTTTTGTTGCATTTAATGCTTCCATTCAAAGGTTTAGGCATTGCCATCCTCTATTGTTTATCGATGGAACTTTTCTAAAGGGAAAATATAAGGGCACCTTGTTAACAGTAATTTATTCAAAAGTAACAAGTTACTTATTCTTAGAGTAACATGTTACTTATTTTCAGAGTAACATGTTACTGTTATTTAGAGTAAAAATCTACTATATTTGTCATTTTCGTTTAATATACTTACTAATTGTATCAGGTTTTTTCCCTCTTGCAATGACAATTGTTGATATGGAGACTACAGACAGTTGGGAATGGTTTTTTATGCATTTGTCGAATATATTGTTGGATGAAAGACCAATTACCTTCATATCTGATTGGAACGCTGGACTTTTGGAGGCTTTACCCAAGGTTTTACCTACTGCTTATCACTATTTTTGTCTCCAACACTTGAAGGCCAATTTGAGGGATAGGTTCTCCGGTCCAAGTTTCAGCAATACTTTCAAGAGTAGAATAGTTTTTTTTGTTTTCTTCATGTGCTTAAGCTCCGATAGTGGGATGCTTTAATAAGTGTTTGAAAGAATTACAAGATAAGGGAAAATGGATTGTTTGTAGGTTTCTATACAACTTGCCCTATGACAAATGGACTAATGCATATTTTAAAGGACAAAAATATGGTGAAATGCACTCGAATGTGGCGGAGTCTTTCAATTCATGGATCCGTCAAGCTCGTCATTTGCCCACTACGAAGATGATTGATTCAATTAGGTTGAAGATCATGGATTTGATGTCAAGAAAGAGAGAACAAGATAAGAAATTGAATACGTTTCTTTATCTAAAGATGGATTCAACATTAGTAAATGCTCTTAAAAGTGAAAGAACTAGGGTGGTTAGTTGTTCAAGTGATCATGTTTTTGAGGTTCAATCCCGGCTATCGGTTAGCGTTGACCTCTTGAATAGAACTTGCTCATGTTACCAATGACAATTGAATGGATTTCTTTGTGCTTACGCGGCGAGCACTATCCAAAAGATCGGAGGTGATTTGTATGTACATGTGGAACCATTTTATTACACTAGCAAGTTTAGTGTGGTAAATGCGAGAAGTATGGTCATAATAGGAAGACTTGCAAGGAAACATTGCCATGAAAGACATTATTGTTTTTGTAATAAAAGTGTGAAAATAATGCAGTTCTTTTGCAATAAATAGTCCATAGTAATAATAGTATGGTCTTTTAGACTAGATTTGTAAGGAGGCATTGCAATAAAAGACATTTTTACTATGTTTTTGAATGGTTGTCTGTTCAAATTTTTGATTTGCTTTGTGGTTGAGTTTGACATTTTAATATATTTTTTTAAAGTGGTTGAATAAGTTTCATGTAAATGAACTTATAATGGAGTTTGTTCAGTAGGTGTGAAGGTCACCTCGGCCCAACACCTGATCATAAATCACCCTCTCAAAAGACATTTTTACTATATTCTTGAATGGTTGTCTATCTAAGTTTTTGATTTGCTTTGTGGTTGAGTTTGACATTTTAATATATTTTTTTAAAGTGGTTGAATAAGTTTCATGTAAATGAACTTATAATGGAGTTTGTTCACTAGGTGTGAAGGTTTGAAATGGATGTGCTCAGCCTGTGCTTTCAGAGTAAAATTTTGTGGTATTTCAGAGTAAACTTTTATTTTATTGCAGAGTAAAATTTTACTTTTTCTAGAGTAAAACATTACCTTCATTCACATGAAAGTAAAACTTTACTGCCTTTCAAAGTAAAACTTTACTATGTTGTTGAATGGTTGTCTATGGCTGTGATGAGCTTGTGGTTTCACAATAAAATTTTGCTTTATTTCAAAGTAAAATGTTACTTTTAGAGTAAAATTTTACCTTATTTCAGAGTAAAATTTTACTTTTATGCAGAATAATATTTTACTTTTAGATTCAGAGTGTAACTTTTAGGCAGAGTAAAATTTTACTTTTATGAAGAGTAACATTTTACTTTTATATTCAAAGTGTAACATTTTACTTTTAGATTCAGAGTGTAACATTTTACTCTTACTTCAGAGTAAAATTTTACTTTTATGCAGAGCAACATTTTACTTTTAGATTCATAGTGTAACATTTTACTCTTATTTCAGAGTAAAATTTTACTTTTATGCGGAATAAAATTTTACTTTTAGATTCAAAGTGTAATATTTTACTCTTATTTCAGAGTAGAGTAAAATTTTACTTTCATGCAGAGTAAAATTTTACTTTATTTCAGACAATACGTTAGTCCCTTAGAAAAACATTTCCATCCTGCACCAAAATTTACCATAATACACAAACTCTCCTGATGCTCATTATGCAATCTTTGTGCAAAAATAATTTAACAACACAACTACATATATCATCAAAGATACACAAGTATAACCTGTATCATTGTATTCTATCCATAACAACGTTCATTTATAGTCAAAATAATATCCTGCTATAATAATGTATTAATCACCAAATCGCAGTAAAATTTACTAGAACAATAGACATAGC